ACAGAATTTTTTCACACCTGCCTAAAACTTTTGCACAGTATTGTACATGTGCAAAGAATGGAGCTTGAACCATATGGTCACAAGTGCCATCTTGACTTTTTTGACCACCCCCCTTTTTTGGGTGTGCCCCAGATAGACCCATAAATATTGACCTCTACTGCCCATCATAGCAATTATGAAATCCAGTACAGGTAGACAATTGTCATTCTAAGATCCAGTGCAGAGAAATGATAATCCAGTGGTTGGTTCTTTAAATTCTTCTGCCAAAGGAAAAAAAAGGGGGGGAGAGTTGGTAGCATTGAGTGTCAGGCAGTCAGCTTTGAAAAGCACGTGTGTGGGAGCTAGATATGCTCAGCTATCTTAGCTTAGATGTCTAGGAGTTAATAACAATACCACAAACTTCAGGGTGGGATAGGAGAAAGATTCCTGTCTTCAAGCTGCCATTGCCCAGCCTCCTCAAATTGTTAAATTTATGAAAAAATATGTTTCCCTAAAATATTGAATCTATTCAAGATGGCTGTACTTTGTTGCTGTACTTTGTTGCTGTCATAGAATACGACATTAAGAAAAAAAGCACAATTTGAAGAAAAATAGACTGGTGTGCTGAAGCAGTGCATGTTATGCATACAAATTACAGACCCTTCCTACATACAACTCTCTCCAAACAATTCCTGTGAATAGCCAGGGGAAAGGAGTACAGGAAGGATATATAGGATCTGTTTATATAATATAGTAGATTATGTGTCTAGGCTTAGCATGGTGTGTGGAAAATGGAGCTAATTTTCCTATTCACAGCAAATGAACCCTGCAGATGTTACATTAAAAGCCAGTCTTATTTGGAGTAAAAATAACTCTCCTTAGTCTGCTGTGTTGTGTGAGCAGGTGGCCAGACACTTAACTGACCCTTATCTTTTCTCAGATCGATATATGAAGGCCTCTCTATGAACACTGCCTCTGTTTTCCATTTCTATCTCCATGACAGATGTTACAGAAAATGGGCAGAAATGGCTGGGGAACGGATAGGAGGCTTCTGCCATCATGGGGAGCCAGTTTGGTGTAGTGATTAAGGTGCTGGCCTAGAAACCAGGAGACTATGAGTTCTAGGCCTCCCTTAGGCCTGAAAGCCTCACAGGCTTGTTGTGAGGAAAACAGAAGGCAGATGTATTAGGTATTCTTGCCACCTTGAGTTATATACAAAAAAGGTGGCATAAAAATTTAATAATTATTTATTTTTCTGTTCTGGCTAAATAAATAAATAAAAAGGAAACTAGGAAAAGATGCGGCAGCATCCCAGCTTTCCTTGTGCCAGCTGGAGGACTGTAAAAATGATGTGGGAACAAAAGATCCAGCTACATAATTCTTGTTGTGCAAACCTGATCATAATGTAATACAGCATCTCCCCTGGAAGCTACATTCCTTGTCCAAACTTGCCTTCACCTCCATGCACTGTCTCTCAAGCTGATTAGGAGTAAGTATAGTGTTTAACAGGTCTGAATATCTTAGAAAAGGAACACCTCAGATGGGCAGGTGATTTCTCCATCAGAGTCTATTCCAATGCCCATGCGATGTATAACTCCAAAATGAGGATCTTAAAAAGCAGCCGTTTATCATGTCCCTTCTCTAAAGAGCTCATGGCAACGGACAAGGTTTTTTATTTTAACAATATATATTGCCCCAATCCATACAGACTCTGGGCACCGTTTGTGCTGTTTTCTCCTCACATCTATCAATCAATCAGTCAATCAATCAATCACAGAAGAACTCTAGGCAACCTGCAAAGAGAAAATAGCGATTTAAAACAACCTAAACGTAAGCCAAGCATGTTCAGACATACTCGTCACTCTTATTATTCCACACGATCCGGGAGTGACTGAAAACCCAATTTATTTCAAAGGGAGGAACCACCGCTGGGGGTATTCCAAGGAACGGGAGGGAGAGTCGACGATTTCCCCCCGGGTTACACCCGGCTCGTTTTGCTCGGGGAAAGCAGGCAGAGAGGAAAGAAGAAAGCGAAAGGGCGGGTCTTACTCTTTAGCGGGCAGATTTGCCTGGAGAACATTGTTGGGTTTCACCGCCTCCTTCTTTTTCCCGAACTTCGACATGGCTGGATCCTTGGCCGAGTTCGTCTCACTCAGGCGGTTGCCTCAGCGTCCGCTTGGTTGCTAAGAGATGCCCTCAGCCGGCCTGGGCCCTAGACAGGAAGAGAGAAAAGTGGCACGAGACACCACCTTCCGGCAAGTAGAGTTACAAAGATAAACTCTCTCTCTCTCTCTCTCTCTACATAGAGGTAGAAATATAGACACTCTCGGTCTCAAAACAGAGGTAAATATAGTCTCTTCCTCTCTCTCAGCCTGTCTCTCAGGTTCCTAAACTTTTTGCCGTCACACCTCCCTTTAGTATAATCTTAATATACACACCTCCCCTAAAAGCCAAACACCAAAATGAGCACATATGAACAATGAAAACAATACAATTTAACTTTGGGAAAGGTAGATTGTACATATTGTAAGAATGTACTAAAAGATTCTTCCAAGGGAGATAGGCCTCACAGTTTGGGAAACCATGCTTTAAATAGAGATAGAAATATAGTGTCTGTTTGTCACACACACACACACACATCGAATTCCAGGCTGCGGCCTTGCCCCGGGAGTTGAAAAACTTTCCGGAATAAAACATTGGCAATGCAACTCGGTGTAGGTGTCAAGAAAACTATCTGGACGTGTCCACGAAGTCAGCAGAAGTAGAACTCGACTCTACCTGAAGCAGAGTGCATCGCTCTGCGCTGTAACCACTTCCAAAGCGAAGTAGAAGATGGAATGAGACCACACTGCTTCCAAAGCGATTGTGACACACTTCGCCTAACGTCTGTTCGGTTTGTCAGCGCTTACCTCTTAATCGAGGGATGAAAATGCAGATGTGCGTTTGTGAATAGAGTACAGTAAGCTTAGGGTGTCTTGCACCCACCTGAGGCTCGTGGGGAACAATGAATGAAGTTTAATCTGATAAAGGTCCCTTTTAAGGCATGCTATTGTGGGATACATTTTGCTGTTTTTAAGAAAATAAAGCAGAACCACTGGAGAAAGTAGGAGCCCTGTAGAAAAATTAGTAGAAGATAATCTCCCAACAAAATTAATGGAAAATGGACATAAGGGAGACAATGTGGAATTTATTTGGAATAAAGTAAAAAGAATTATCTTGCAGAATGTCACAGAAATATCTGGAGTTATATTAATGGGAAATATAAACAAAGATATTTGGTGAAATGATGAAGTGAAAAGAGGCTATGCCTGAGGAAAAAATTCCTATAAAGGAATTACTGCAAAGAAGAAAAAAAAAAGTCGCTCTGCAGAAATTTAAGGAAAGACTGGACCATCAACTGTTGAGAATCCTGTATTGGTATTCTGTATTGAAGATCTTGTATTCAGCATAGAGCTGGACTTGAATATACTCATCAGCTCACAAGTCTAAATAACATCCTCTTTGTGGGTGGATCTACCATTTAAACCACCTTATTTTATTTTTACTTTTTTTTAAAGGGACAAATACAAGGGTTTAAGGCAACCATTTCATCCCTTACTTCACTCCCAGAATGATTAACTGTTCCACCCACTCTTTAAGTGCAGTCCCTTACATACTGCACAAAGCTTTGGTGTGATCCTCGAGTTGACAGACATTGTGCATTCCTGCAGTAGCTGATCTTGAAGATCTAATTCTGCTTTTCCATAGGGTCCTATCCCCTTTGCTTTGAAGCGAATGCCGAAAGCAGCATAGAATATGGAACCTATGGTGAGTGTTCCCTGAAATAGCCCTGTTCATTAATGGAGTGAATTTACTCGGAAAAGAAAGACATATTTCTATTAAAACAGTGATAACTATGTAAAAATATTGTATCATCCTATTGATTTTCCTGTATAATGTAATAATTATATATTCCTATATATAACTTCCTATTATGTCCACAGTATGGGAAATACATTGTTCAGCATCAGTATTTTGGTTCTGAATAGCCATGACCAGGAAAGGAAATTATTCAGAAACTGAGCCCTAATGAGAGATGTGATGCCTAGGAAAGATTCAGCATGCATGCAGTAGGAGATATAATGCAGGAAATATAGCTAGGGTGGCAAAACTCAACTTTTATAATTGTTGTTTCTAGTCACTCATCTATGTAATTTAGAGAAAAGTATCTTTTTAATAGCAAACCACTTGCAAGTCATATAACTATTTGAGCATCCCCAAGTATAACTTTGGTACAATCTTGTATACACACTTGTAATTTAATTCAAACTGAACTCCATGGCCTTACTTCTGAGTAGACTGGCGTAGACTTGTTAAAACATAAATGGAGACGACAAACCAAGGGAAGATGGGGTAAATTTGTATTGTTTCTATGTGAGGACTAATAATCAGAAAGCAAATTCTTCACAGAAAAACACAACTATTCCTCCATGGAGAATTAACCCAAATGACGTGCAAACCCCTGACATGCATATACATATATGTGTAATATTCTGTTTTTTGCATCTTGCCACACAGTAGAAATTCTGAAAAGAAACCACAATCAGCACCAAGTGATAATTCTGAAAATTGTGATTGTATTATTTGTTAAATTTCTATATGCCTTTTTCCCAGAAACTCAAGGTATTTTGCATGGGAATCTCCCTTCATTTTACCCTCACAACAGTCCCATTAAGTAGGTTATGTTAATTGAAAATGACTGGACCAAAGACACACAGTGAGTTCTGATAATTGAGGGTGAACTTAAACTTAGCCTCCCCACTTGAGTTTCCTATTACTTTATTGCTACGCATTGCTTACATCTTAACTGTAGCTTTTGCAGGATTATTTTAAGAATGCTGCTTAGGAATTAGTTCCTCCAAGTTTAATAATACAGGTAGTCCCCGGGTTAAGAATGCCTGGTTTAAGGATGACCCATAGTTAAGAATGGAGCCTACTCTAGCAAAATTTGAGTTAAATACATGATTCAAGTTAAATACACAATAGTTTGAGTTAATTACACAATACTACTTATACAGTATTATACAATAATACTATTCCAGCATACATACAAATTCAATTTAAGGACAGACTTTAGGATACTCTAGCAAAATTTGAGTTAAATACATGATTCAAGTTAAATACACAATAGTTTGAGTTAATTACACAATACTACTTATACAGTATTATACAATAATACTATTCCAGCATACATACAAATTCAATTTAAGGACAGACTTTAGGAACGGAACTTGTTCTTAAACTGGGGACTACCTGTAATTGCTCTCAAGCCAGTGTCATAAGATTATCTAGACTTGAACTAGATCTTCTCCTGCTGGACTATTTTCTTCACTTTTTCCAGAAGTGTTTTATGTGAATGAAGTACTAGTACTATCTTTTTAACAATGTGATGTATGGCTCAACCTTATAAACACTGAGTTGGTAATAAAGAACACCATGGCATTTTTTGAAAAAAATGTCAGTATACCATAACTTTGTAGTTAAGATCTTAAATACAAAAATATGTTTCACTGAACTCATTAGTCTCTCAAAACCTGATGCCTATCATGTGTATTGCACTCTTGTTCTCATTATCTACTGATAGTAAAATATATCCGTAAGGGAACAGGTGGAAGACTGGTTAAGGTCACATACCTCTTTCAATCAACATTGATTTGGGACAGCAGAGGAATGGTTTTAGTGTTTCACAAATTATTTGCCTCCAACAAAAGTATATCTTCAACTTTTGGGATCTGTATTTTTTTATTCCCCTTTCAATCCCTCACCCAGTACAGGTAATATGATTTACAGCTTGAAGCACAATAAATGAGGGTTTACGATGGCCCTGAAAGGACTGTAGCTGTCAATAACTTGAACTAGTATAAATAGTCTTTTGGCATATTAGACTAACTCATTTATTATGGCAAAAACTTCTATGGACTACAGTACACTTCCATCAGATGCACACATTTTTATAGTATTCTTTAAGGTGTTACAAGAATTTGTCATTTTTGTTGGCATAGACTAGCGTAGCTATCCCTCTGGAAAACTGTACTACTTACCTTATTCTGTTAGTTGTAAGGAATGGTAAGAAGTTGCACAGAATGTTAAAGGGTCCTCCCACCCCCCAGTAGAAATGTGAAAATCTCTGGCTTTTAAGCTTAAGCATTACCAACATAGACAAAGATGCTAGTCAAATTAAGTTCAACTCTAGCTATTGTAACATTTTTCACATGAAGAGATTTGTCTATCAGTGTAGGCCATGAGGACCATCTTTATCATACTTGTCTGAAAACATAACATGTCTTCTGTAGCAATTTTCTCACTGAGAACATATCTCAAGAGTTCTCATAGAAAGGTATTTTGGATAATTAAATACTCCCTCAAATGACTGAATATGACTTAATAATCTTTTTATTACTGAGAGAATAGCTACTTTGCTGTCCATTTGGTGCATTTCAAATGAATATGAGATGTTAAGTTACATAATTTAAACACATAAATGACATATGTTCACTGTTTGCTAATGTAATATGCTGCCAACTGTACTTGTTTTGTATAAAAGTATTAAAATGTTCAGGACTAAGACCTAATTTTGAGATATCTTATATCATCTTTGGGAAGATGATATAAATGGGGAAACGATCCCATTGACCCCAGTGTTTGAACATTGGGGTCAAACATCATCTCCCCTTCTAAAATTCTTATATTTATCTCTTCAGTCATGGACTTATTAAACTTCAAAATGCAAAGATAAATTGTTCAGCACTTCAGCCAATAATTCCAGAGTTCTCAGAATATACTGAATCAACAATTCAGATACATAGTGTAAGGCAAATTTGTTACTTGCTAGAGTTTGAAGAAGGAAATATGAAACTGTAACTGAAAACAACAAAAAATCTGGTTTTAAAAATGGTGTGAAGTTATTCAAGCAAAGCAATAGATTTCCATATTAGGAAAAGAAGGTATAATACTTTCTCACTGAAGAAGATCTGAAGTGAAGGACACAAAACTTTATTATCTTAATGTAAACTAGACAAGTATTAGCAAGTGTTATAAATCTCTTATTCACCATTACCTGAGTACAGATCTTTTCTGTCCTGAGAGTTATACTTAAAGTAGCATCTTGAAAGTCTGGTGAAAGTCACTCTCTATACAGTTACTGTATTTGGGTTTCAGGAACAAAGATTGAGATAAATGAACATGTATTTTTCCAAACCAGTTGTACTAAAGGCTTTTAGAGCTTTTTGTAGTTTTATGGTCTCCGTATTTATTTTTCTGTATAAAGCATATTGGCTTTGTTTAAAAAAAGATTTGTTCATTTTAGAATTTGAACTTAATGTTTGAGAACATTCAGCATTTAAGTAGAAAAATACAGGAATCATAGAACATTTTGACAAATCAAGATTTAAAACATAGCTGACTTCATATAAATTTCTACAAAGCTAGCACAGGCCTAGAATATAAGACTTTCAACCTGAGACATGTTGTTTGTATTCTTCTGTTTTGTACAAGTAACAATGTACTTGACACTATCTTATAAAAATCTAAGTCTTTTTTTATTATATAGCTTGCATTAATATTAAATACAGCATAAGAATCACAAAAATCCAGGTATCACCCAGTCTAAGTATGAAGAATGTTAGTCCAAAAGTACTTTACAATTTGCAGCAGCTGACAGGTTACATTTCACTGGCGTAATATACAGAAAACAGAATTGAACCCACAGATTTAAATATTAACATGCAATTGGTGAAAGCATTTCTTAGAAGTCTTTTCTCCAAACATTCACAGATACCATCACAAATGACAATGAACACTTCTTAGGACTCAAGTGTATATTTTACATTTGCAAATTATTCTTGTGCATGAAAGTATGCCCCCCTTATCAATTCTTAATCCCATATGTTAAATAGTTGAGTTGCAATAAAAATAGCCTGCTTTTAAAAAGACTATTTGTAAGTTAAATCATCTCTGATTTAAGAGACAGTTTTCTGTTAAAGAATGATCTCATAAAAATAAAGCTTAAACATTATTCATTTTCAGCCCAGGCATCATGAAATCTTTTTGAAAAAGCTGTCCTTGTACAGTAAGAAATAACTTATTTTTCAAGTTTAATTGTACATAGTATTAGTTAACATATGAAAGTGTACCAGAGAAAGCCTCTTCCAAAACAGTCAGAAATGAATTGCTATTCATTTATTTGACGGATAGCACAAATATATTCTTAATTCTTTCACACTAGCTGACTATCCTTATATTCCAAGCATTAGATTCTTAACATACTTTAAGGCACATTATAAATGAGGAATCCCTGCTCAGTCTTGCCTCAGAATTAAAGGGTTTATTGGCTGTCAAGCACCCAAAAAGGCTTTTGTTTCAGAGTCCTAGTTTTGAATAGGAGACAGGCAATATTAGAGCAAGGTGGTAAAGGAATTTTATGTATATTTAAAAAAATAAGGAAATGTGTAGTCCTTATCAAAATGAATAATTCTATCTGAACTGCCTTTCCTATTCTAGTTCTGAAACTACACTATGTTAACCAGGAATTGAAGCTAAGTTTTCATCTAGATTCTCTCCTTGGCCATTTCTCATTGGATAAATACCACCTGTTTTGGAAGGGATGCCAGCTTGTGACTATACTAAATAGCTTACAAACAAGGACATAGTATAAATGTAACTCTTAAGTCCTATTCGATTAAAAAAAATGTAAACACCTTGGAATGTGAAGAACTTAATACCCCACAAGGATAGTTTTGATGAAGCACCACAGCAGCTGTCCAACATGAGGAAGACGAACATTCTGCTCTCATTGTGTATTGATGCAAGACAACGTGTCTAACAGCACTGGGATTTACTTTCTGCTTTTAGAGGATTCAGGTCCAGTTTTAATTTATCAACATCGTTCTCTTCATTTGGAAAGGCTTTCAGGTTGGCAAGGATGTTTTCCACCAAGAACCGAGCAGCTTCATCAATGTTGATGTTATCCTAAGGAGACCATGAGACAAATTAATGCTTTCCTGGCCACAAGGATCAAGGTGGTCCAAAATGCTTCAGCATAAATACTGTATCTAGATCTCTGCTTTTAGAAAGGATTTTGGAACTAGTTTACTAAAAAAGCATTTCACTGTCCTTAGAACTTTCATTTTTTCACATTATAGCTGATCTTTGGATGGGTGCAACAAATTACAGTTGGGAGAAAAACTGAATTTATGTTTTCAACATACTATATGTATTTGCATAGCATACTTTTTAGATCTTCATTGCATGAGCCCTGCCAGACAGGCACTAAACAATGTATAAGATCCATAAGTTGGTCTACTTGTGATCACTTTGAACTGAGAGAAACAATCAGACCTGCTGGGCTGTTTGTTTCTTGATTTGCCAGGGTAAAAGGGCAAGATATTCATCCTGACCTGCATAACTGTATGTAAGAAGCTGGGACAGAATAAACTTGCCTATTTGGATATGAATGCACAATGCATTAATGAGTCCAAATCTGGATGCACCCTTTTCAATAAAAAAGCAACATGAGACTTCAAGCATGCTCTGTCCTAGTTAGTCAGCAAGTTGTGGTTGGATGAAGTAAAAATACAGTCATTCCAAAACAGATTACATAAATTTTCTTCACTTGGTAAACTAGAGTTTAAGGCCACATTCAGTCAATATACAGAGTCATAATATACATGGTTTATTAAATCAATCAATCAATCAATCACAATAGTCTGGATCCATACAACATACTAACCAATAATACAGAGTTAACAAACACAAGTGCTATGTTCATACAACCCGCTAAATCACAAAACTATGTTATTGCTTACCAGGTTATGAGAACATAACCTAAAATAAAACCCTTCATTATGCTCAGGATGCGCTTAGCCATTGAACTTTACAAGTTTTTCTCAAGAACAGGCCAGCAGAGAGAACGTTTAGATTTTAACCAAATGTCAAGTGCTCCAACTTTGAATTTACACTTTACTTGCTTATCATAAGTAACAGATTCTCAAGTAGCTATTTAAATGCTTGTTCAGAGCAAGGAACTGTGGCTACCATTTTCTTTTTATAGTCCATATGCATCTGAGCTTCCAGGCTGTGTGCCCCTTTATTAAAAGGGCAACCTGATTTTGAGTTTTCTCCTGCTTGAGTTTCTTGTCTGCTTTCTTCTCATGAGCTTCAAACATACAAAAATTAAGGACAGGATCATTTGTGTGCACTATATAAGAACTAAATGAATGAATGTAAAGTTAAAATATGACTTGAAGGGATTAGTTTGCTATGTTCAGCAGCTGGCAAGAGTTTCCTTTGTATGCATGCCAAGCAACATTAAATAAATATAGGCAAATAACGAATCATTTGAGTTGGCATCATTTTAAAACCACTTGTTAAAGATTTTATCCAACTATTCTGACAAATTTGAGGAAAAGAAACAGGCATCATACCAGGGTGTATCAAACAGTTAATTATCTATTTTCTTTGCTGATGTTATAGATCTTATGTAGAATTTATTTCTCTTTCATGTTTAGCTATCTAGTTATAAAAGTGGAGGATGGAAAACATAGAATTCCACAAGATCATCATCATTTTAAGTTTACATACTGGATCAAAACTGATAAACTAATATTGCTACTTATGTACAGCTAGATAATAATTTGTGAACATTGGGGCTTTTATATCATCAAAAACATGTAGATTTTAAAAAGAATGGGGGGAAGGGCTGACACCACTAAAAAGCAATGTAGCTGTGTATGATTTCAGCTCTTTTTTCATCCTTTTGCTGGAAAAAAGAGGAGAGACCCTGGCATTATCAAATTACTTATCTCTTTAATGGAGTATAAAGCAATGTTCACTAGGTGTTACACAGCAGAAAGGTGCCTAGCAATCCATCTGCCCAAACCATTTTAATTTCCTTCATTAAAGTTCCTCTCGCTTCTTTGAGATCAATGTAACCAATATATGTAGAAAACCAGAAAGCGACAAATTGGGGAAGACTAAATTAAGAGGACCAAATTGCAAGGTCAAGCTAGGCCAGCAGGCCAATTCTCTTGAACACAGACAAGTCCTTCCTTTAGGAATAGTCTTACCTTAGCAGAAGTTTCAAACCATCCAGCAAAGCCTCCCTCTTTGCAGAACTGATTCATCTGAGAAGGAGAAGGATTTTGGCTACTTTCTTTCTTCTGGTCACATTTATTGGCAAGAAGAATGGCAGGAATTGGGGTGCCATTGGGGAGCAGTACTTTACTGTCCAAGTCATGTTTCCACTTGGAAACTGCCTCAAATGTTGATCCTCTGGTGACATCAAAGACTACAAAAGCTCCTACAGCTTCTTTATAGTACACTCTGGTCATATTTCCAAAGCGTTCTTGACCTGAAAGATAAATGGACAAGCATTATGGAAAACAGTATTAAATATTGTTTCCTTAAAGAGGCTGAAGGAGAATCCTGGATATTGGATAGAATATTGGAAATAAATTGTAATCAAAATGCTTGGAGAAGTGGAAGACAGTTAATCAGTGTTTTCCTAAATAAATATAGCAAACAAAGTGAACTCTATGCCTTACTTCTGTACTAGAAATTAAGAATGAATGGTAGGTAAAATAGTTGGGTAGATGTTTATCAGTTCAAAACTCAAGAAAGATTTTGTTCACATTTAAGGACTGAGAAAAGAATAGAAAATAATTTGTTCTGTCTAAATGTGAGTGCATAATCCTAGACATGATGTACATAGCCATGCAAAGGTAGAGATATACATAGAAAAAAATAATTGATATGGGTGATAGGAAACCCATTCTAGAACCAAGCAGAATTTAGAAAATCCCTTGGCTGTCCTAAAATTGATTCCATTTAAAATCTGTCTTCAACTTAACAATAACATAACTGTCCATGGAAAAATTAGATATGAATAAATCCACACAAATATAATCACTCATGACAGAAGGTCCGTGGCTGAATATAATTTTAATTATGTACTCATGACCTTCATGCAATAGTTCATAACAAGAGTTGGAGTGCTTGAGTTAACAACCAGATATTAACCAAGCAATAGAACTGTTGAAACTCAGTAAATGACCAGAGGAAGTGAATGTACAGTGGGGCAAAAAAGTATTTAGTCAGCCACCAATTGTGCAAGTTCTCCCACTTAAAAAGATGAGAGAGGCCTGTAAT